ACACGTGCAAACAACTTAAATCTTGGTTAAAATGGTGTCGATGTATTACTGGTGAAAACGGGAACTTTAAAAATACATGTCAACATTGATCACAGTTTTAACTGGAAATATGTGCAACGAGGTCAACCTAACAACGGATGCCCGTGAAAAGAGGCTAGAAAAAGGTGTAGGCGTCTCCTACCTGATAGAAGACTCCCGCAATCTTAATTAGGGATTCCTTGGTAATTTCACTTTCCTAGACGTGTTTTATGATAATGATATCATCAACAACCCACCTTCATATCCTACAGAGAAACAAGGTTATTTCCCAGTGACGGTATGATGGGGTTCATGAAACTGCTGGAAAATTGTGATTTTGATAACAAGCCTAATGAATATAGATGATTCGGGCATATTATCATTATAGGTTAGAGATGCAAAATTTGGAAGCGGAAAGTTCGTAATAGAGCAAAATTGAAATCCTAACTTTTATCATACAACTTGATTGAAAACTATCATTCTGCTCGAAAACATTGATTTGTAACAGAACTTACGGTGTTCTTAACCTTCGATTTTGTTAGATACATTTGACGGACATAACCAATAAATTTCGTCAATAAAAGTGGAACTGAAGAACTTGGCAGATATCTGTTACCTATTTTTGAAAAGTTGTTTAATGAATACAGCCTGTAAAACAACAACACCAAGTCACGATAAGGACTTTACTGTTGTCAGTATAATGTGACCTTGACCTTTGTAAAAGATAACGTGTCATTCTACAGTTTCTTTGTTTTTGTTTTTAGTTTAATGACACCAAGTGTAAAGATTGTACTAAAGACACACTAGTGAATAGCGCATTTAGCGCAGTTAGATAGAGTAGAATCAAGTTATGAATTAAACTGTGTCATATCGCTGCATCGTCCTTCCAGGACTAGTGGGTGATGCTAAGGGCTAAAATGGTAAAGATTAGAAGCGTGTGAGTAAATCCAAAGTGACCTAAAGAAAACGCAAATTTTAGATGGGGAGATACCGACAGTGACCTCGTCTTTGTGTGACCTACAAACTACAAACAAATAAGGAGGGGAACATGCATAATTGTTTTATAGGTTGGATGGGCAAAGTGATATCCGGATAAGGTATGATTAAGCACGTCCACGAGACAGTCAAAAAACGTAATTTCACACATAAGTTCAATTAGGCTAATCAACAGGTTAGACCTGAAGAAAAGGAATAGACAAATGATGGAAAGAAAACACTACCAGCTAACACAAATATGCGTCAGAGACCGATCACATATCTTCAATTAATTCCACTTGAAAGATTTAACGATGGTTATCACGCTTAAAAAGCTTATACATCGCACATAAAGAAAACATTCGTACATAAATAATGAAAAAGAGAAAGGTTTTTAATAACCTGTGCAGTAAATCATTGAATTTTCCACTGAAGAGCTAGATGATAAAGACACTATGTCAATATACACTGTAAGGCTTCAGACACATTACTTATAATAATCATACATGGCGCTTCATGGTTGAACGTCCGAGCAACAGCAAGGGCCATATAAGAACAGGTGTCAAGACGGAAGCCAATAGTGAATTATAAAACAGAAAGAGAGACCAAGAACAGCCAACAACACCTGGTCTTATTCTCCTTGTATTTTTCAGTAGTTTCCGTGTAAATCTTTTGCCCTAGTTTTTTTTTATTTCAGTCTTGAATATGATAATGTTGACATGTTGGTATTTTAAAGTCGCCTCCTACGGTCGAAAACAGCAAATTATAATCTAGGGCTCTCCGAGTCAAAGCGATCTAGAAAAAACATCACCAATCTACAAGGGATGTCATGCAATTAGTCGCTTCGTAGACACGCAGTGAGATACATCAGTTGTATTATTTGCATGTTTCGTGCACGGGTCTGCTACACACTGTAGGATATAAATAAATATTAGAAACATCTGTTCCCGTCCTCACTTTATTCATGAAAGCACATATGAATTGTGCAAATTGGAATTTGCTTATAAGCATACGTTAGACACTGTGGTTGTACATACGCGTTCACTTCAATGATACCAGCGTACCTTGCCACAGCAAGTTACCACAGTTAGCATCAAGGTCCAATTTCGCGTATTTCAGACATCTTTATAGCTAAAGCCCAGACACCAATAAAAATCAAGCGACGTTGTGTAAAGTGAAAAACATGTTTGCAATAACATTCGGATTTTTTCGAAATAGGTATTTGTATTTAAGCTAATCTTTCTCCGTTTGTATGGTATATTAAAGTCGTTGATTTAATCATTGTTCTTACAAGCAGGGAATATTTAGTTGGTTATGACGAGATACCTATGTGAACCCCTAAACTTCTCATCTAGCAGGGGAATATTGAAAATGTCTTAATAAGGTGAAAAGAAATCCTGACCATTCTACTAGTCAGCGCCAGAACAATAATAAAGCATATATTATTCAGATATTAATTGTAAAAATGACTAGCGTTGTTCAACATTTTTGTGGGTAAAGTCAGAAGTTTAAATGGGTCTTTTCTCCAGCAAAAACTGTTGAATCTGCTCAGTTCAATTTCAACCATACCAATGTAAAGTTCGCAAAACAAACAACTGTCATCGCTATTAGCTTAATTACAAGATGAACAAGTGATCCGCACTAAAAACATTGGTGTATTCAACAATTAACAGTTAACGAAGAGACTATAATCAATGTGTTATATCATTATCTTAACACTTTATAACCAGTATGATGGTGTTGTTTGTGAAAAAAGGAAGATGAACCTTCTCTATCCATCCATGAAAGATTTACACTTTTGTATCTTGTAAGTTTATACAACTGTGTCATACAACTTTTCCACAACAATATAAAATTTCAATTAGGATTAACTTTTTTTGCCTTGTCACTTTTGTCTTTTTCATTCAAATTATTAATTTCAAATTATTACCACTCTGATAATAAGGAATTATTCAAACATTGTTGTAAGGCAGTAACGTTACCATGCTCCACAAGGACTATTACGACATATACCTACACAGATTAAACCACAAATACAATACTGCTGTGGGGATATTATTTTGGGTTTTTTCGTATGCTCGAAAATGTTATGTTTTGTTTGAATTCATGAGTGCAGATCAACATAAAAAGACGTAACATATTGACACGTGTCAATAACAAGATGGAATAAGCAAGAAAAACAAAACATAACTGAAACTTGTCATTTGACATACAGTATACATGCTAATGTTAGCGTTTCGACGTCTTCGCGGCCATCAACGTTAGCGCGAATTTAGCTATCCAGCAAACATTTATTAACTAAATGGGTTATTTTAGTAAACCTATATACCAATATATTGACATGCGCGAAATTTCACTTCCATCAACTAGTTCAAACTGTGACAGCCACCAAATATTAGTCCCGCGAAATTTAACAGCTATACAGTACTAGAGCAACGATTGTTGTTTCCCTCCGTCTGACGTATGCTGTGACTTGACTTATCATGAGATCGCGGAATAACATAAATTGGATTTTACCAATGCTTAGTTTTAAGTCATAAAGCAGATAACCAATACATCGGCTATAACTGATTTCAACACATGATCTATAAATGTTTCTTTCAAACGTTTTAATTTCTTCCTTTCGTTTCTCTCAATCTAGATTAGCTGTTGCGATGAGATTAGTTCTAGATTTCAACTAGAATGTGTCCATCTGTTTCCTCGTGCAATCACCATTTCGCAAACATAAAATAATATTTTAAATGATTGTTTCGTCTAGTTGTAAGGCCGTCAAAATGTCGCACGTTATTACTGTTATTACGCTATACAGTAACGTATAGCTTGTCGTAAGCACGAAACGTGGTGGACGAAAAGTAGACACATAAAAGCCGGCAAACCTAATAAGAAGATGACATTTGAAAGGGCAATGAATGGTTCGAGGAAACAGTATTCGACAGTACTCGATCCCGTGACCTTCCAAAGCCAGGAATACTGCGACTAGTAAATACGTAGAAAGTCTTAGCGTTATTTACAGCATCTGATGAACATTGAAAATAAAATTAATTTAACAGAAACAGGATCTTCAAAAATCAAACTATTCCAACTTGTATGATTCGCTGCATTTTCTTTATTATACTTCATTACTTGGTACATCAAATTTGAAACAAGACATTTCAAGACTATATACAGAGTACCTGAAATGTACTATTACGTAATAAGTCAATACATTACAAACAAAGGGATCTATTACCATATTGACAATTATTGTTACGCGGATGTTCCGTGTGTTAAACAAATGTCTTAGATGGTAATTTACAATAGGATGAATAAACAAAGATTTAAAGTTTTGTTAGTACAGTGATTGAAAGAATGCAGCTTATTTTAATTGGTCATAACATTGGGTAACATCACATTGATATGGATTTGTACAGTTTAATTCCAAAATTAGTTATAAACGAGAAACAAAACTTTATGAAGTAAGGCCATAGAACGAAATGAAAGTTAATATTTAGTAGACACCCTCTGAAGAAGGAAATCTTGAAAAGACAAAATTCATTTCCTCTGATCGATTCATCTGTCCCACACGTATATCGCATGTCGTGATGTTCCAGAAAGCACAGATAGTGTTCTGTGTTTCTTACGGATGATTAAATCAAATGTTTATGGTAATCGAATCGCCTGAGCTACATGTCTAGGATATTCCGATAAAATTTTATTATATAGATATATGTTTTCTATATATGTATTTTATAGAAACCTTTTATACATAAAGCAGTAGTTCAACAATGACCTGAATCAGAATAAGTATTCACATAATTTGAGGAATGGAATACACAATACAGTTTTAAGCTTAGGCAGGATAACGTCACATTAGATGATATGACGAACATTTCACAGTTATTACACATCACAGAGATATGAATTATAAAACAGTCGTTAACAGCGCGTTACGAAAGTTAACAATCATGTGTAGTGATTTATACAAGCACAGACAGTAAAGTACTTAATATTTTATAAAATATACTTACTCTCACAGTAAACCAAAGCGCAGATCACAGCTATGAAATAGAACCCACGTGTTGTGTACATTTTCACGACGCCAGTTAAAAGTGAAGCAACACCAAACCTCATCCACGGGGGCTCAACAACGAAATCAATGAAAACTTAGAACAGGAACCTCAGAGAAGTGAAATAAACGATTTTGCTAACTAAGATTCACCAATGCTTTATGAAGAAATGTTTGATATAGATAGCGTTTCTTCCTGTGTTTGGGGAGGCGGGGCATCCCAGTGGTCCTTTCTGATTAGTCAATAATCTCGCAGCCTGTTCATCGTGTCTCCCAATTTGATGCTTCCCCGCCTGCCGGTGGCCATATAACAGCATGGCTTAGTGTTGGTATTAGCGATATCATGATGCTTACTTTTCTCTCTTTGAGGAATCTGTGCTCTGTGCGGAATATAAACAAGCTATGTAAGTCTCTGACAAAATGAATTATTTGTATTTATGGAGTAATCGATTCTACTTAAGAATAGAAGTTGTGATGATATGCGATGATCTGATAGAAGAGCAGAATCTGTTAAACTAAGTCGGTAGCTATTGTTGATTGTGTTTTATCGTTGTTGGATGATCAACTCGTTGCCACATTAACATGTGAAAACTATTTAGATACAGCATGATGCAAGTGATACTGGTATATGTTTCATTGCAGTTTAGAATGTTTTTGGAGATGGTATGTAATAAATCGATCCTGGGAAATCAATACTTTGCTACTAAATAACACAACAATGTACACTAGTATTAATTGTTCTCTGTTATATTAAGCTTCAACTTCACCTTCCATAAGGGCGTCTTTATTTGTCGAAATCTTCTATAAGTTTTAAGTTTGTGTTAGATACGTTCGTGCAAGACACGTTTCTTTTTATCATCGATATCACTTACATGTGTAGATAAACCGTACGGAAAAAGAGAAATATTGATCGCTGTTTTTTGTCCATGTCGCACTAGCCATTTGCGTCCAACCTTCAATGAAGGATGGGATGGCCTTGGTTGTCCGCTCATCAAAACACGTATTAGAAATTAAAAAAAAAAAGATTTACCGTTTACTACAGTTCATGATAATTGATAGGCGACTTGAGAGTATAGCCCGTATAACAAGTAGGACCAATGCTATACCAATTGTATATTGGATTTAATGTTTTCTTTCCTTTATTTTCATTTACTCCAATGTGGGGGATTTACGTCATGCAAAAGCTAAGTTGATATGTGGATGATGCTCATGGATAACTCTGCTTTTTAACGATGAATTCATTACCCGAATTACATTGAATAAATTTCAGTTGATGTTGTTTATATTCCTATTACCCTTGGCTTTTCTAGGACATGAAAATGTCTACAAAATGTTTTTTTACCTTGTGCTATTTTCTAGAATTCCTAATTTCTTCTTTTTGTAAATAATATTTACTTATGATTTCTTCAATTTTCTATCCTTTTTCCTATGCACAATTAGGTTTGTTCCGGGACTTACGACTTCGTAGCAGCCAGGGTCATATAAAGACCGTTTCTATTGATGAAGGTGCCACTTCTATTGTGCTATCATACTGAAACATTATAACATGGACACAAAAGAGAGCCATCCCGCTCAGTCACATTATACTGTCAACAGGCATGACCTTGTGTATTTGCTTGGACGCCGAGCCAGAAGCATGGAGTACAAGTACAATCTTGACTACTTTTTTATCTCACGACTTGACGACAGAGTACACATGAATTATATCTTTTCCGGTACACAAAACATATTCAAGCCACAAATCTCTGACGTCGTTGAGATGGTATTCATGGTATTGAAACAATAAAATTAACATACCATGAATTTACGTACATTGCAATTAGGAAATGAAGCATATGTGTTTGTCGGGGTAATGGTAAAAGTAAAAAAACCTTACAGTGTTTTATTATCTCGTATTACACAGGAATGAAGTGTTAAAGTCCATACGACATTGACAAGGACTTTAAAAGCGATATACACTTAATACAAACAATGATTTCACCCTTTACAAATAGAGTCGGATTATTTTCTACATCAGTTGTGATCACTTATCAAAGGATTCGGTTGCAGGAGTAAACAAAATGATCGAAGGCCCGTTACTTACAAGCTTTTGTTAAGGTTGTAATTAATTCATTGTTGTAGCGTGTTTCTATCTTCATCGATCTAGACAGTCAACAAGGACCTAGGACATTGCTGCAAGGCAATACAACACGATGACACCGTATCAAATCTAACAGCCAAGAGCGCCACACAAGGCAAGGACCGCAGACAGAGATAAACTGTTTTTCTTACAGTTGCATTGTTGAGTAATGCAGTCGGTGGCAACACGGTTACTGACCTCCACACAAATTGACATTAACAACCCATAGACTTGTGTGTTTTGGAACATCTGGGTGGCTCTTAGTAAATGAATTATGTTGGTAGGTAATGCCATCGATATTCATGCTCATCCTTATTTCCAGTTTCCAGTAATAACAACATCGTCTTGAGACTGCTTGTTTGCTGAAAAGGTGAACTACAATCCACTTAAGCAGCAACTTTACCATGCAGGCTCGGGGCTTCAAGCTTAGTGCCAACTTTGCCTGGTACGCTCAGGGCTACAAGCTAAGTACCAACTTTACTTAGTACGCACAGAACTCATATTTAGTCTCTCTGGTTAAGTGGTAAATTGTTTCCTTCGATACCATCGCTGAATGTCATGGAGTACTAAAACAAAACGCTTTTACACCTTACATATACTTCTTGTCTTCTAAATAAACTCTTCGAACTCTTTTCATTGTATTCGTCATTTATTTTGCAGACACTCATATCTTAAATAATCTTAACTATCTTACAATATAGTTTGAGAACGTGCCAACTTCTTGCAGTATCTGGTCATATTTTTCTTGTACTTTTTCAGGGATATTCGTGTAAATCTTGTTTTTCTTTTCCCCATTTTTTATTCAAATGTGTTATTCTTTCGTGTCATAAACCTTTCTTGGAGTACAATTTTGCCTTATATGTCACTTTGGATCTTAACGTTCTTTCCTATTCTCTTTCTTCCTGTGCTCATAATATAATGTAACAATCAACCTGTCTTTTCTATTGAAATGTCATGATTGAAGATTTGATAGCAATTGGTAAAAACCACTCACTGTGTCCCTCTTGACAACTGTCCTCATTTACCATGGCTGTTTAACCAATCCCAAACATCGTTAAATTCCATAAATGTAGAGCGTTTGCTTAGGTGAGGATGTTCTTTTTGTGGTGATATAACCTTCGAACTGCCAATGTCAAATGAGGACGATTTCCTCTGATGATATTTACCACTCAAGGACACGTGTATAATGTCAATTCTGTTTATATTACACATTAGCATTTGACACTCCACCACTTCTTTACTAACAACGGGCTACCTAGTCCACTGCACTGAACGTCAAGTGAAGAACAGTCGAAGTTTTTTTATGCGTTTTTTCTCGGTGTGATGAAAGAACCAATCATCACACTTCCATAGGCTGAGACTCAATGCTAAGACTAATGCGAAGGTATTTCAAAGTGAAGGACAAGAAATGTTGTCAAGAAAGGACAAGAAAAGGTCATAAAAATTCTAAATTTAATATTTTTTACAATCATGCGATGAGGTCAGTAGACAATTCTAACGCCCTACTGTCTGTACCTTCAGGGTTAGTTTAAATGTCCCTTATCGCTGTCCTATTTAAGTCGAAGCTAATCTAAAATATTTCCTTTTATCGTTTTGTTGCTGGAGGTCACAATTTTGACCCTTCTTGACGCTTTTAACCTAAATAAGGTCCTTACTGATTTAGGAGCAAATTCTATTTCCAATGATATGGAACAAAATTTAAGATTGTTGAAAGCACTCATAAAAAGAAAAAATAGTAATATCACGATAAACGCATTGTCATTCTTGAGACCATCCCATCTCACGCTCTATAGCAATATTGCTATAACGATTGTGACTTCCCTCGTCATTTGATAATAGGATAAAACAATATTTACGTAATTGATAAGACCTTAATGTAATGATGGGATAGCATGACATTTTTATTATATCGATTGCGTTACATTTGAGTATACTTTGATCAACCATACCTTTTGCAGACATTAAGTCATTATTTTCGAATAGTTCTTTCCACGGAAATATGTTTTGCTTATTGTGTTTATTTATTTGAGTTTTAATGGATTTACATCAATGTTAGGGCGATTATATCAGTTTTAATGCACCTTTTTGTATCAAAATGATCGGATTTTAAAGGACAGGTCTAGTAGTTTGGAAATTGTGTTGACCGAAATACTGTATGAAAACTAATTTCGACAATCCGAAAGCACAGTTTTGTCAATGTATTAGCAGCAATCATTATTTTCGTCTCATTTGAAGACAGCTTTAAACAGTTACATATCACAGGAATCTGCTTTTTGAGGGGTTAGATAAATTTCATTGAAAATATACTTTTCTAAAAAGACAAATATATTGTAAACAAATGTTTGCGAGAGTTATATTTTCTTGGTGCTCTTTCACCAAAACAATTGCGACAATTATTTTCTGCACAAACATCATAACACAGTAATCAAAGAATGTAATACAAGACAGGCTTATCCGAGAAGTGAACTATCCGTAGTGGACATTAGATGCAAGTTAATTTACGAACAAATATGATAACTTTCATGATTATCTACATTTTGTGAGTATTGAGTAAATTCATTGATTAACTAAAAAGTCCCTTTAATACAAAACAGCATTGTTCCCGGGCTCAATATTTTTTCTTTGCCGAAGAAAGATGATTTTTCTGTTGTCAATACAAAATTGTATACATCACAGGGACCATTGAGCAATCCAACGTCAGTAGATATTGCTTTCATATGACCTTTATGTTTGAGGATGTATAACTATAAACAAAGAATCATTTCTAGAACACTAGAAATTCATTTCAAGAACAGCTAGTCCTGAGTCCCGAAGCATAACGAACTAGCAAAATGATTTACTGATACAATATATATTGACAAAGTGTTGAAAAACAGACTTGTTCCATAAAGTCTCCGAGCAGAA